TCATGCAGTTGTTTCAGGGTGGCAAGTGTCAGGGAAAACCTAGAAAAGTTAGGGAATTCTGAAAAACCTGGAAAGTCAGGGAAAAGTCAGGATATTTTGCCAATTTTGGCAGAAAAGTCAGGAAAATTTTCTCTCGGTCATCAATGCGTGTATTTCATTTAAAGTAGACCCTTTCAGCCTTTTCTTCTGCATCTGCGCTACACATGAGGCATGACTTCAGCCGATTATTGCTTGGTTCCTAAATTGATGTTAGTTTACTTGTAGAGCACTGAAATTATTCCTCTTTTTTAAGGTTGAATGGTTTTATACTTAAATTTCAAAGAAATGTTTTGCAATGGGAAAAATACTGTTTTAGTCTCCACAGGTCATTCTAGTTTTGTTTCAAAATAATTAGCTGAAATCAGTTAAATGATCAGTCCAAAGCTTAAACCATCACCCTTTACGCAATGATCATCTTAACTGTAGCAGAGAGAGCATCAAGAAATTTGCTGACTGTTCCCGCGAACAATCTGAGATTTTTTCCAAAGCCAGGGAAAAGTCAGGGAATTTTTAAAAAATGGGTCAGGGAAATTTTCTGAGAGATTTGAGAAGGGATTTTACTTGACACCCTGTGTTCCCTTCTCTTTAACCACATTAGATCTCGTGTCGGTGGCCTATAATCCAAGTTTGTTCAATTTTTCAAAGGACAATATGGCCAACTTCACTGTCGCTGTACCATCCGGGCACCCTCAGCTACAAAGAGTCCCGGCCAGATGGGACCAGCTGCAGGAGTTCGGGCGGTATGTGGAGCAGCTGCAGAAGGATTACCTCAACCGCGACGGAGGCGTGCTGGTGAGTTTAGTATTTTTTTTTTCCAACAAGTTATTACGTATAACTGAACCCAAATCCAGCGCACGGTATGTGAGATGAAACAGTTTTGTTACGTGAGAAAGAGACACGAAAAATTGAAATCATTACGAGACCTATGAATTCAGAACACATGGACTCTAAGAATTGCTGCGGCAGATTTCAATAGTACACTTCCTTAGAGCAGGAAAAACATTTGCATATGGTTATAATGTTTCTTTCTCTTTATATGAAGATTATTGAATGGAAATTATAACAAATCCAATCAAGAAAGAAACCTTTTAGTAAATTAAATTTCAATATTTGATTCCAAACACCACATCGAAGAAGCTACTCTCTGTTTCAAGCAAAAACTTGCAGATGCTTACAAATAAGTAGAATGGAACCATGCACTTTTTGTACTCCTTTGTTTAATCTTACCCTGGTATGTGTTTTTATCTTTTTCTGATTCCACGTTTCAGGTGAGATTTCCTTCGGAGGTGTTACAAGACCTGATAGAGGGTTTCGACAAGGAAAGAAAGAAAGCCTCAGACGTAAGAGTCGGAATCTTGCAGCAGGTGCGTTACTCTAAGGTTTTTGTATCATTTCCATTTTCAGACTAACGAAACAGGATGTGCAAAACTTGCAATCGTGTGACTTCTTTTTTTTTGTAATTAAGAAAAAGATGATTAGGATGCGAAACGCGTCCTCAATTGCCAGATCGCTGGACAGTCAAAACTAGTGTCGCCTCAAACAAACTCTTTATAGTAATCCGCATCATAGACATACAGTATTGGCTGGACTTGACCAGAAAAGCACTATCTCCTTTTAACCCCAATGGACTGTTGATTCGGTAGCAATACTAACCCAATTCACTTTCGTGAAAGATGATTGGTCGGGCTTTTTAAGCCGAAAACTTTTGAACAAATAACCATCTTCTTACTGTGCTTTCGCGCGATCATGCCATTTTGTTTCGCCTAAAGTAGAAAAGATCTCGTTTTGGTCTTTGACTTTATGCAAACTTGATGTGACCCAAAAAAAAATAGCAAAATTATGTTTTTTACAAATTTATCCAATCATAATTGACAGAGTTTAATTGCTAGTAATCATTCTTCTAAAGCCTCAAGAACCATGTCATTAAATGTTGCTCAATGGACCAAAAAGCGCTTTCAAACTGAAAGCTGAGTTTGGGAGCCTGCAAGTAAAGTGACATCACGTTAGCACCTGCAGCCTATTAGTAAATGCACAATTAGTATAATGCATAATTCGACGCATAAATGTGACTGTCCCTCAATGCGCCAATAAATCCGATCTTTCTTAAATATTTCTAATGTAAATTTTCTTTTCAACATGAAGCAGGAATTTTTTTTATTCTAACTTCTTTGCTTTCTTCCAGAATTTTCAACCGGTGCCGAGGGAGGAGAATTGCTTCCACCATTACGTCGAAGAGGTCGAGCCGATGACGCTGTCGGGATACTCGACATACTGTGCGCAACAGGCGTACAGCGGGCGGATGGAGCTACACGAGATGAAGGAGGACTACTTCCGACGCCTCGCAACCTTTGACATTGGTACGCCTGGTGTCAAATACGGTGCTGACCAGGAGAACACGGACCTGTTCAAGTGCACATCCGTAAGTATTTCTAATTTATCATCAAAGAATCACTTTATACTTGACCCACGGAAATGTTTTCAACCATTTTTGGTGGAGCGGACTCAAAAGAATGTAAATAGCATTTTCCACTTTAACAATGAGCACTCTGAAACCCTCACGAACTAATTACGATAGTTTGCCCAGATGAGAGTGACGCAACTATTCCACTCAAAGCCGTAAACAGAGGAAGCTCATGTGTAAAGTTCTCAAAAAATGGTCAAAAATCCTTAGAAGAACTCTAAAGTACTTGATTTTTTGCTGCAAAGGTACCGCGAAAAGTCCAAATGTACTTGCTATTCTTTTTTCATATCAGTCGATGGCGAGTAAGCGTTGAGTGTCACTAACTGTGGGCTAGGGACACTGTGGGGTTCTTGTAAACAAAAAACCACTTTCGAATAGCTGGTTATTGAGTTGATTATTTTAATTAAAAAATTACTTATTTGAAATAAATTTAAATCTTTAATAAATAATGAACACATTTAAATTCCTTTACCATGAAAAATTATTCTTGGGGCAGCCGACTGATTATCAATGGTATATATTTTCTGTGACTCTAGGTTTTTGAGCTGAACGATGTGCACACTATACTCAAGGGCACAAGTCTGGAAGAAGTCCCAGGGCTCGTGAGGAAGTACGGGTACTTCGGGTGTTACGGCTCCAGTTTCGCAGCCCACGTGGAGAATGCACTTCTCTACAGCGCCAACCTCCACATGTACGGGTGGCCAAAGTTGTGGTGAGTAAAAGCTTAAACTTATTTGATGAAGAGCTTTCGTCGTTATTCATGGGTTTAAACTTTGTGCAGGTCCAAAAACTATGGTAAAAGATTATTTTTTTCCAGTTCAGCACTTACGTAGGGTCAAGTGGGGTAATTGTAAACATATTTCGACTTCTTGAGTTAGTTTCAATCACCAAACAGATAAAAATTCAGATTAAAAAATGGTGATTGAAGACTGAAAGTTAATTTAAAAGCTTTAAGATAACTTTCTGTCAATTTTCAAACCATTTGAAACATTTTCCAAGTGTTTTACAAGCTGTTTACATTTACCCCTTCATGTTTACAATTGCCCCGCAATGTGTCCTTTTCATGAAGTTTACAATTACTCCAAACACGTAAAAAGTGGTGTAATTGTAAATCCCCCCCTCAAAATTCAAGGTGGATTTCAAAACATTCTAGAAAAATAAGAACCCCTTAGTTTATACCCTTACTACCTGAAAGAAACTTTTTCAGATTTAATAATGGGGTTTAACATAAGTTACTTTTTTTTTAAGTATTCCTGAGATATGTTCATTTTAGGATTCACTTTTTCAAAGACCTTTTTTTGGAGTCACTTATTACTTTCAGTCAAAACGTATACTTAACAAAAATTTTCAATGCAATCCAAAAGTTCTTAAGATGATTCAAGTGATGAAAGATGGATCTTTACTGAAGAAAATGAGAAAATGAAGGTACTGTTGTATGTAGTGGTCTAGTCAGATCAGTCTGGCAACAGTTAAAATCAAAGTTCAACTCTTGTTGAGATGAAGATCTGTAGATGTTTTGGTTTTGTTCATGCTGAAATGAGAGAGATGAAGATAGATGATTGACTATAAAAGACCAAGATTTTGGATAATAGAGGCAGTTCAGCTCCAGTCAGACTTCCATCCTACTGTCTGAGCTGACCTCCCCCTGGCACCTACGATTCGTCGGCAGGAGTCAACCATCCCTCCTCCTTCCCTCTTGTGAGTCTCTCATCATCCTGTATGCTATGTAAGTGTATATCTTGTGTTTGTCATTCTGTCATGAGCAGCGTTTGAGGCATCTTTCCGTGATGGGCTCAACCCAACACAACAGTACTTGTAGGTAATTTATTATCCATGCATGCATCTATGAATGAAACTAATGAGTTTCATTCGATGCACAAATGGACGATAAATTTCCTATAAGTACCCACATTTTCGCGTTTGGTTCAGTAACGATCCATCTTGAATCTGCGAATTCTTCCCGAAATAACACATTCAATTATGTCTTTTTAGGGACGTGTGGCCCGCGTCGCAGTTTGAAGAGGTGGCGTTGTTTTGCAAGGACCATCTCCTGGGCTCGGATCTGAGGAGTCACGTCCGGAAGTGCCCGTTCCCGATGTCCCACAAAGGGGACATTTTCCCTTCCTTCAGAGTGGAAGGAGGAAGCCTGGTAGGATACTAACAATTGTAATTTTTTTAGTTTCGGCAAGGATAACCTGAAAAAAAATTCAACATTTTCAATCGTGAAAAACGGTGTCCATGCGCCCAGGTCCGGTTGCTGGACAAAAAAATTCTGGCCGACTATCGTGTTCACGGTGCCAAATATGGAATCGGAAGCCAAAACCGGTTCAGCTAGAACGTGACAGTCCGTTTTCCAGAAAGATAATTTATATTCTCGAGATAATTGCTGGGTAATGATGTCATAAACCGACTCGTTTGCATTGTTTCAATGTGAACTTCAAGTGCCGAACCAGTCTGTTTATGCTTAACGCAGAAAGTGGAGAGTGGTTGCCTTGATTTCCGTCACAACTTTCTCTATAAGATTTTATACTTTCAAATGCACCCGGTGACAATAGAAACTAGTCAATGCCATGCAAATGTGATGTTAACTTCCTTTTATCAGGGAAGTTTTCTCAATTTGAGTGATGATTTATCTCAGGAAGGCGTTCCGAGCACTTCAATCTTCTGCTGGCTGGCGCTCCCAAAACTAATAAGATAGAAAATTACAATTTTCACTCGGTTTTGGTAAATGAATAGACTCCGTCTTATTGTCGCGTTAACATTTCAGAATTTAGTCGGTTAGGTCATGTAAGATATTTCTGGTGCGAATAAGATCGATTAAAGATAATATTTATGTTTTTTATGCTTTCACTCAGGCTCGCAATAAATTTTGCTGTTTTTTTGTTTTCAGGGAGTGCAATGTTTTGGGGACCTTATGATTACTGCCCCGGCAGCTACCCATATGGGTTTTAACACGGGCGAAAACTATTGTGAGGCTGTCAATTTCGGCAACCGTTTCTGGCTGTCGTATGTGAAGGGTCGGATGGATGCTGGCACGTACCCGGAGTGCTCCTACAAGCACAAGTACGTATATAACATACAACCCCCAAAAATTGTTGCCTACGACTCAGGTAAAAAGCCTGTTGGTTTGAAAACCTGACCTGCATGGCAAAATTTTTTTTCTCCAAATTTGATGAAAAAAATATCACAATATACAGTATGAAAAATAATCACACCTGTATTTTTGCTTTTTTCAGAATTTTCATTTTTTCCAATTTTTTTGGCAAATTTCGGCTGGTTGCCAAAAGGCAACTCCATGCAGTAAAAAGTTGGATCAGTACCATTTTTGGTACATTCTTAGCCGATTTTTAGCTCTAGTTGCCATTTGGCAACACCAAATTGGCTTTTTTTTATAAAGAAAATTTATGAAATATCATGAAATTTCACTTTATTCTGTAGGAACTTCCACAATATTTTTTTTAAAATTGGAAATATATAGCATAATTAGGAGGGGCTGGCTATGCAACCCGCACAAATACATATACAATTTTCCAAAATGTCATTCAATTTTGGGCGGGTTGCATACCCATCCCCTCCTAATTATACTATATATTTTCTCATTTGTGAAAAATATTACCCCAATTTGAAAGTCTCCACGAAATAAAGTGAAATTCTTTGTTATTTCATTGATTTTCCTAATAATAAAAAAATCAATTTGGTGTTGCCTTTTGGCATCTAGTACTAAAAACGTGGTGCCAACTCAACTTTTTGGTGCATGAAGTTGCCTTTTGGCAACTAGAGGATTTTTTGCCGTAAATAATTAGAAAATTGTTTCTTTCAATTCATTCTGGGGAATTATGAATATAAAGCGTGTATTCACTGGCCATGATTTTTCCCTTTTCCCTATTTACAGGTTATCCAACTGAAAATGGAACCTGAAATTTCATTACTCACACTCACCGCGCGAATTCTGGGTCGGTCCAAAAAAAGTGAAATAAAAGTTATGTTGGTAATTTATTTTTTTACCAAATCTATTTTTTCCATATTGGCGATGCCTATATAGGATGGCAGTACATTTTGGACCCAGTTTACTCCCAAGGTGTATAGAATACAAGGTGAGCCCGTCCGGCCAAAAACGAAACGGAAGCTCGCGCGCGAATCGTCGTTGGCGCGACATTTGAAAAATGCCGATTTTGAAATATTGGCCGAAAACAGCAATTCATTCCTTTCGTGTCATCGCTCAGGTCCATCAATTCTCAATATCTTGATCGATTATTTTAGCTAAAACCCTCCTCTTTCCGTCAGTATAAGGTTATATACCCTTTTTTGCAAAGGTTTTTCTCCAAATTACAAAAAACAAAAAAGTGATCTTATAAAATTAAGCAAAATTTTGCGTACCGGTGGAGGTACCCATTTTAATTCTTTTCGTGTGATCGCCCAAGTCCATCGATTTTCAATTACTGGGTCAAGTTTTTTAGCTCATCGCGTCCTCTTTACGTCTATATATGGTTATATGGACTTATTTTCAAAAGTTTCGTCGCGATTTACAATATAATTTTTTAAAAGTGAAGTTCAAGTTTCGCTTTTTGAAAGAGACTATGCCATTTGTTTTCGTTTCCTGTGACCTTCCAAGTTGACAAATTTTGATTTTAAAAGCTCAGTGTTGTAGCTCAAAACATTCACTTTCAGAATATATATAATTATATTAACTTATCTCCGATAGCGTTTCCGAAAAACACAAAAACAAAAATGTTAGATATTTTGAGAGAATTTTTTCTTCATTTTCACAAAGCAAACTTAATGTTACAACAAGTTGGCAACTGAAAATTTGACTCAAAATATCTTACATTTTTGTTTTTGTGTTTTTCGGAAACGCTTTTGGAGATAAGGTAATATGATTATGTATATTTTGAAAATGAATGTTTTGAGCTACAACACTGAGCTTTTAAAATCAAAATTTGTCAACTTGGAAGGTCACAGGAAACGAAAACAAATGGCATAGTCTCTTTCAAAAAGCGAAACTTGAACTTCACTTTTAAAAAATTGTATTGTAAATCGCGACGAAACTTTTGAAAATAAGTCCATATAACCGTATATAGACGTAAAGAGGACGCGATGAGCTAAAAAACTTGACCCAGTAATTGAAAATCGATGGACTTGGGCGATCACACGAAAAGAATTAAAATGGGTACCTCCACCGGTACGCAAAATTTTGCTTAATTTTATAAGATCACTTTTTTGTTTTTTGTAATTTGGAGAAAAACCTTTGTAAAAATGGTATATAACCTTATACTAACGGAAAGAGGAGGATTTTAGCTAAAATAATCGATCAAGATATTGAGAATTGATGGACCTGAGCGATGACACGAAAGGAATGAATTGCTGTTTTCGGCCAATATTTCAAAATCGGCATTTTTCAAATGTCGCGCCAACGACGATTCGCGCGCGAGCTTCCGTTTCGTTTTTGGCCGGACGGGCTCACCTTGTATTCTATACACCTTGGTTTACTCCAATATTCTATCAACTGCGCTTCCAAAAAGCGTAGTTGCCATAAGGCAACGCCATGCACTAAAGGGTTAACGACATGAACAATTTTCATCTCCCCAAGGTCCAGGTTGTTCTCTTATCTTATTTGAGGTCTTAATTGCGAATCATGAACCTCTCAGCGTGATGCACCTGTCTGAACAGACGATGTTTTTCCTTTCACATCATTAAGCCAGAAATCTTACGTTTGTAGGGTAAACAATAAAACAACTGAATAATTAAATGATCATATTTCAAATTTCATTACCTGCATCGTTTTAATTATCTTATTGTTTTTATTTCTTTTTACTTAATCATTCTATTCAATACCGTCAAAAAATTTTCTATCGCTGTCCTTTCGGAATATTGCAAACACTTTGAGAACGGTGTGAAGTGCTAAAATCAAAATTTCACTCGCTAAAGGTTTAAGCGTCATTAGCACCCCATATTCTTCATTCAAAGTAATCGCGATGCATTTTTACAGGAAGAACTGTCAGAGCATAACGCCCACCCCCGCTGACTTCCAGAAGTGGGAAAATGTTCAGCACTTCGACTCCATCCTCACAAAACGTTTCGCCCGAGGCCCACGCAACTGCCAACCGTCCAGTACCAGTACGTACATCTTTCTATGACTTGAGATTAGGATGAACTTGTTTAGGTTCATAAAATATGCATAACTATATTCCAGGAGTGCAATTATCCCCCTGACCACCGAACAAGTCCCTCTCCCAATTCCAAGCTGCCTACCTCACGGCCAAGGAGTCACCAGGAGATGGAATACTACCCACATAGGCGGAGTGTCCAGGGGTTTTCCCAGAAATCTTTTATATGATCGAACTCTTTAGCATGCAAATATCAGGCCGTTTGTAAGGAAAAAATGTTTGGGTAAAACCTAAAAAATACTGAATTTTTAATGTTTTCATTTTTTTTTTTTTTTTTTGCCTAAGGAACCCTCAGTAAAACAGAAGTTTTACTATTTCTTCAGTAAAAGAGAGGACATTCGGGTCGCACCCTATTTAAGAGTCTACAAGTTTCTAGAACGTAATTATAAATAGTGGCATCCCTACTATGTTCGGTAAAATCTGGTACAATCAATGGTTTGTGGGTTTTAACTCGGGTCTCAAATCGTCCCTCAGCTGGCGTAGGGGCGTATCTCAGGACGACCCGCTTACAAAGGAACAGCTCCGTTTACCTGCGGAGTCCATTGAATAAGAGCTGTTCCTTTCTAAGCGGGTCGTCCTGAGATACGCCCCTACGCCAGCCGAGCGACGAAATATCAGCGAGATTCTTACTTCTTTTAAGGCCCAATCTTGACATTTTTGGTTTAGTTAGACAATGGCCACTCTGAGCGATCTAGGCTCTTCCTCAGGTGTAATTGCGGTAGTCCGTGCCACTATTTTTACTTTAACACTACGTTGACCTGTAATTTTTTTTCAATTCTCATAGACTATAATATAAACTTATTGTTTTTCAGTGTGCTCCAAATGCAATAAAATAATTGTGGGTGAACATTACATCAGTAAGGAGACCGGTAAACCGCTGTGCTCCAGTTGCAGGGAAAAGGAACGCATGGTTAGTAGTTTTTAGTAAATCAATCTTATACCATTATCTTTCCACAAAGTAATAGATTAATTTAGTCAGTAGCTTAAACGTTCGGCTTTGGTTGGCGAAAGTTTTCACAAAAGTTTTCTTTTAGAAAAAGAACAAGTTCTTGACCAAAAAAGTAAAGCACTCCCTATTTTTCTGGTACTCAAGGAAAAAATCAACCCAAAATTAGACCAGACGACTGCAGATACAGTGCCCCCTTGTATTGTGTCGCTAGCGACAGTTGGTTTAAAACCCATTCCTGCTGGAATATTGGTTTCAAGAAAAGCTGAAGAAAATCTTCCAAAAACTGATGGAAATGAAAAACAAACTCTTTCAGAATGAAAAAAAGCATGAAAACAAATTGGACAAGTTTCAGTCGAAGCTGACAGAAAGCAAAATACCTTAGTCACATGCCAGTCTTTTGACAGGCCAAACAATAGCTCCTTTTCCTCCACGGACAATTTTAGGAATCAAAGCTATAGTATTTTCTACAAAACTCCAGTACAAGATCTGTACATATCTAAAAATCTCCCATTCCAAGATTTCAACAAACTCTCTGACATTTGAAGTGAGTTTGTTCCCGTCACCTTGTTAACACAAAATACAATGAAGGTTGACTGTGTGTCCTTTTCTTTTCATTTGCAGCTCGACAGATTGTGCTCCAGGTGCAATACAGTGCGTTTGACGAAAAAAAATCGCAGACGTGTGTCGCAGGAGAAGGGTAGCCGGTACATCTGCACTTCATGCCACGATGCCATCCACAAGCGGGGCACAGGTGACAAAAATCCAAAACGAGGAAGGTCAAGGTCCCCTACGCCTGAACCCGAACCGTCTCGTATGGGTACTAGGAGCTCCGGCGCAACCAGTTGCTAAATTCCTCTGGGTAAAATTTCTTCAAGCCAAGTCCCGTCCTCAATTTTAGTCCATTATCTATTTCTTGCTTTGTTCCTGCTCTTTGTCAGGAAAATCAAATTCCGTAATTGAAGGAATGGAAAAAGTAGAAGAAGCTTTCAAACTTCTAAAAAGTCACTCATAATTTGAGAGAATTTTGGAAGTCAGTCTCCAAGCTGGGAGAACTAAGGACAGAGCATGACCTACACCAATACTTTAATTCAGTTACGCTCTGCAAATTTTAACTGGGCCACAGTTTGATTGAACTATGTTTCGACGCTAGAGTAAGAAACTCGCTGATATTTGAGGCGGCCCAACCAAATGTTAAAACCCACAAACCATTGATTGTACCAGATTTTACTGAATTAGCAAGTTTCCAACCGGAGGAATTCTTTTCTCCTAACTCCCGGGCAAGCCAAAAATTGATTGTATTGACCTACATGGGATACTTGTAGCCTATCATGCAACAAATGAATTGAAGAATATACTGCGCACATATGATAATCTTAGAATTTTAGTGCACGGAGTTTTTACCGTATTATGAAATTTTCCAACCGGAGTAATTCCGACTCTTCTCCTAACTCCCGGGCAAGCCAAAAATTGATTGTATTGACCTACATGGGATACCTGTAGCCTATCATGCAACAAATAAATTGAAGAATATACTGCGCACATATGATAATCTTAGAATTTTAGTGCACGGAGTTTTTACCGTATTATGAAATTTTCCAACCGGAGTAATTCCGACTCTTCTCCTAACTCCCGGGCAAGCCAAAAATTGATTGTATTGACCTACATGGGATACCTGTAGCCTATCA